GGCGGGGAGGAGGAGGAAAGAAAAGATGCATGTTATAGAAAGTGGTGGCGTGCCATAGCCACCAGAGAAGAATGATGTGCGTTAAGGATGTCTATCAAAACTCAAGTTCATGCCACAGTCTTTTGATAACTATCACTGCAATGAATACCAACATCCGTTGAATACACGGATGACTGAGTGTGATTGGTTGACTGGGCGTAGAGCGACCGCACTCGGATGGAACTGCAGTAGCATGCAAATCCGACAATAACCGTAACACGACATGGAAGATGTGTAAGCAACAAAATTTAAAAAAAATGAGGTAGAGAGGAATTTTTAAATTCCTCTTTATTTCACTCCAGAGGCTGCGAATGTGTGCAACTGAACTGCCTAATTTTTGGCGAGCATGAGACAATCAGAGAACGACTTTCAATGCACATTTATTACAAACGAGAAACGCGCTAAAAAAACATTCCCTGAACAATCGCACGAAAATCAGTTTTCTTTTTGCTTAACACATCGTTGTATACCCACTGTGTAACTTCCGTGATTCACCCCGGTTGGGAAGACGGTAAAATAATTCGCTACCAATGCAGGACACAAATACGGTCTGTGAATAAAGTGAACTTACAAATTTGTGAGCGAGTGACTATGAAGCGAGGTAATGTTGTCAGAAATACTAATCCACCGAAATACAAAATGATATCACAAAATATTCCCATTGTTCCGTCAGAGAAGTCTGAAAGTGGCAAAGACAGATCTGTTTTTTCGATACTTCTCATCAAACCAATACAGTACACCCAATCGAACACGTATAGACACAAGACATAGCGTGATAATCCGTAGTGCAAGTACTCATACAGTTATTGGGATGATTGATGTTGAGGACTGTGTCCGGATGGACCAGTCAAGGATGAGTCAAACTGATGTGTCTGTTTCACGATCTTACTGGCCTTAGGCCAGGGCAGTAGTAGGGTCTTGACAAATTGTTTTTGCGAACACAATGTTGGTTGGTTTAGCCTGATCGCGGTCGATTCGGCTGGTACCATTTATAGACAGAAGGATGGCATAGCAATGGGGTCTCCGCTTGATCCACTATTCGTGGGTATATTCATGTCTTAGACTGAGAGTAGCACCCTAAGACCTATCATCACACGGATGAACATGTACAGGCGGTATGTCGATTATATCTTCTGTCTGTATGTTCTACAAAGAAAAATCGACGGGGGAATCGAGAGAAGTGTATGTCATAAGCCTGCATGAAACCGGCAATACACGCATTTTCAGAGCTTCATACCAATGCAACAGAAATTAAATTGGGTGCGTTGTCTGGTCCATAGAGCCAAACAAATTTGCTCCGTCAACAAGCTTCCAGGTGAACTGGTTCTGATAGGCAACACGTCAAGGGAAAACAGCTATCCAAAAAGCTTCATCAAAAGGCACAGTGCGATTGATTCTCAGTCCTGTCATTCTACGGTCCCTAAGAAAAGGGTTTGTGCAACAGTTGATTTCAAGCGGGATATGCTAACCGAAATGCTAACTCGTCGATTATCCCGCGCTATTGAAAGAACTTACTTTGCTGCCAAACTCTGTCTCTCCTTCACTACGAAGCCTATACTGCAGATGCACCCCAAAGACAAGTTGCCTAGTCAGTCTACCTCATTTTGTGTGTACTCTTATACGTGGTCGTGTGGAGCGGAATACGTAGGAAGGACCACTAGGCAATTGTCAGAGACGATTCAAGAACAGTCTACCTTGGCCATCAAAATGGATCAATAAAAATGCGACTAGTGCCATCCTAACCCACACACAGGACACGGGTCACGAACTGACACCTAAGGGGGCATTCAAGGTCATCTACCGGGTAGCATATAACCGATCAAAACGGGTGAGACATAGAATTCTGTGCACAGCCAAATCGACCCCGATCAGGCTAAACCAACCAACATTGTGTTCGCAAAAACAATTTGTCAAGACCCTACTACTGCCCTGGCC